AGGGCACTGCATGAGGAAGACCTTAACACTCCAAAGGTCAGGCAACATCTTATAAAAGGCCAAACCTGGCTCGAAGCCTAGAGTTTCCCTATCCTATAGCTAACATTGCTATTTATTTATCTCATATTATATTGATATAACTTTAAACACTTTTTATGGGAAAAGTTCAAAATTTCTATTCTTACATTTAATGCTCTCTGTACACCTAGCTCTTCCAATATATTTATCTTTTTTTTTTTTTTGAGACGGAGTTTCGCCCTTGTTACCCAGGCTGGAGTGCAATGGCGCGATCTCGGCTCACCGCAACCTCCGCCTCCTGGGCTCAGGCAATTCTCCTGCCTCAGCCTCCTGAGTAGCTGGGATTACAGGCATGTGCCACCATGCCCAGCTAATTTTTTGCACTTTTAGTAGAGACGGGGTTTCACCATGTTGACCAGGATGGTCTTGATCTCTCGACCTCGTGATCCACCCGCCTCGGCCTCCCAAAGTGCTGGGATTACAGGCTTGAGCCACCGCGCCCGGCATATTTATCTTTATTAATACTGTATTAAACAATATTCTCCCTTCCTTTACTGATAAATTAATCCCAGAACTTTGGAAGGCTGAGGCAGGTGGATTACATGAGCCCAGGAGTTCAAGACCAGCCTGGCCAACATGGTGAAACCCAGTCTCTACTAAGAATACAAAAATTAGCTGGGCGTGATGGCACCACCTGTAGTCCCAGCTACTCAGGAGGCTGAGGCATAATAATTGCTTGAAGCTGGGAGGCATAGGTTGCAATGAGCTGAGATCTCACCACTGCACCCAGCCTGAATGACAGAGCGAGACTGTGTCTCAAAAAACAAAACGAAACAAAAAATTATTTTAAAAAGTGGTGATTACTAGCCTCCCCCAACACCTACAATGCCAAATGCAGCTTTCCCACATCCTAGGCACATAGTGGCCTGGTCTGTGTCTCCTTGTAACTAAGTTCTCCCCAGTGAATTGAGAGCCGAAAGAATCTATAACACATTGGCCTCACTTGCTTAAAAGAAACTTTGCTTGGTTTAGAGCTGCTCTTTCCAATTCTGCTGAACTGAGACAGTGTGCTTATAACCCAGCTTTGTTCACGTAGATGATGGCAACTTCCTACGCATGGCAGAAAATTAAGAGAGAAGGTACCTGAATGATGGCCTGGTGCAGAACCACTCCACCAACTTAGACCACTCTCTACACAAGAAAGAAATAAAATTCCATCTTCAATGAAGGCACTGTAATTTTAAATTTCCTTAATACACAAATCTAATACAGTGTTAATAATAACATACCATTTGAGTCTTATATTAATTTACAGTTATGCTCACATATACATTATTTTTCTAAACCTTTTTCCCTTTGATTTTGTTCCTTTTTATTTCAGGCAAGTAGTTGTCCTCTATTAGCATGTTAGTCTGAACACTGAAAACTAAGGCTGGCCAGGCGCAGTGGCTCAGGCTTGTAATCCCAGCACTTTGGGAGGCCAAGGTGGGCAGCTTGATTGAGCCTAGGGGTTTCAGACCAACCTGGGCAACATAGCCAAACCTGTCTCTACAAAAAAAGATACAGAAGTTAGCTGGGCATGGTGGCATATGCCTGTAGTCTCAGCCACTCGGGAGGCTGAGGCAGGAAAATTGCTTGAGCCTGGTAGGTAGAGGTTGCAGTGAGCTGACATTGCCTCATTGCATTCCAGCCTGAGTGACAGACCCTGTTGAAAGAAAGAAAGAAAGAAAGCAAGAAGAAAAGAAAGAAAGAAGAGAAAGAGAGAAGGCTAATCATGATCGTGATTATCAACTCAGTATCCTATTGTTTTGTGATACATTTATTTCCGCTTTCAAGCTACCTCATGAGCTGTCTAAAGTAGGTTCCTTTTTGTCGATTTATGTCCAATCACCAATAAACCTTCAAATATGGTATTTCCCACAAATTCTTCATGGTATGGTTATGACTAATGACAGGAATACATCTTCATGACCTACAGTACCTTCCTATGAAATAAAATACGCAAGGATACCTATCATTAAAAATAAATATCTGCCGGGCGCGGTGGCTCAAGCCTGTAATCCCAGCACTTTGGGAGGCCGAGGCGGGTGGATCACGAGGTCGAGAGATTGAGATCATCCTGGTCAACATGGTGAAACCCCGTCTCTACTAAAAATACAAAAAATTAGCTGGGCATGGTGGCACGTGCCTGTAATCCCAGCTACTCAGGAGGCTGAGGCAGGAGAATTGCCTGAATCCAGGAGGCGGAGGTTGCGGTGAGCCGAAATCGCGCCATTGCACTCCAGCCTGGGTAACAAGAGCAAAACTCCGTCTCAAAAAAAAAAAAAAAAAAATATATATATATATCTATATCTATATCTATATCTATCTAGTTTCTTGAGGAAAGATACAGAATGATTTAACAGTAATTGTTTTAAATGTCATTTTATGGTGAACCATTCTGGTAAATGAGAGAAAAGCAATTATTTGGAGGTAGCTACTGAAATATGTATGTATTTACGAATATAACTTTGGTAAAGAGCCAAACAAAATAAAGCATGACTCATTGTCAGTAAACATTCCCTCAATGTCCTTGCATTATAATGCGAAAGTTACTGTTTGGTTTTAATAATGTATATAAAATGAATTACTATTTACATTCTTCAAGGCATTAAAAAAACAATCATCTATGTAACAGAAAGGTCTTTAAAGTCTAATAAATTAATTATCCTTTATTTTCTTGTCAATATGTTGAGCTACTTTTAAGAAAATAATTAAACACAATAAAATTTTATTAACCATGTTTCTTATAGTTGCAACTCAAAGTAGCTGTTAGAAGTTTAACACATAAAGATTTTTATTGTATTCACTTTAGACAGTGGGTCAAGAGCTATTGGCAAATGCTTTTCTTCTGACCCTGAAGTATCTTAAAATTTACCTCTGATTGAGATCACTTGTGAAGGAATTTGCAATCAACTTCAGAATGGTAAAACTGGAAGGAATGTTAGAGATCATAATGACTCTCATTTCACAGATAAGAAATCAATAGTTTGGCCGGGCGTGGTGGCTCACACCTGTAATCCCAGCACTTTGGGAGGCCAAAGTGGGTGGATCACCTGAGGTCAGGAGTTCAAAACCACCCCGACCAACAAGGTGAACCCCTGTCTCTGGAAAAAAAAAAAAAAAAAGAAATCAAAAGAAATCAAAAGTTTGAAAAATTATTTTAATTATAGGAGGCTTCTTGGCTGGGTGCGATGGCTCACACCTGTAATCCCAGCACTTTGGGAGGTTGAGGTGGGCGGATTGCCTGGGCCTCAGGCGTTCGAGACCAGCCTGGACAACAACGGTGAAACCTTGTCTCTACTAAAATACAAAAAATAAGTTGGGTGTGGTGGAGTGCACCTGTAATCCCAGCTACTTGGGAGCCTGAGGCAGGAGAATTGCTTGAACCAGGGAGACAGAGGTTGAGCCATGGTACTCCAGGCTGGGCACCAGAGCGAGACTCCATCACCAAATAATAACAATAAATAAATAAAAATAAAGGAAGCTTCTTGAAAAGGAAAAACATTTTTCAGGGAATCCTAAATGTTGTACAAATCCAATCAATAATCTTTTAACACCTCTCTGAAGGGCTGGCCTTACCATCTTTCCACTTCACACACAGGAAAACTAAGGTATACGCAAGCTAAGCAGTTCACTCATTATCTCTATGAATCAGCATCATTGCTGGGAACGGAAGCCAAAACTTTGAATGTTGGACCATTCTCACAGATGTAGGCTGATCTCATTCGCAGTGATGCTGGCTGGGGGCGAGGGGAAGCCATGTTTGGGAAGTCCCCTCATGGAACACTGCATTTCACAAGCAGATTACTTGCTGACTAACGCAAAATGCTTCCCTAAATGAGTTCCAATGGATAATGCAGTCTTTAAGAAACAGAACAGTGCAATGTGTCAGTTTCAACATCTTCCTCTCAAACGAAATGCCTTTGAATCCTAGACATTTAAAATGTGCTTTAAACCTGCTTCATCTCAAATACTCAGGAAATGCATATAATTTTATTTAGTTTTTATTTATACCAGTCGCCTTTGTGAAACCCTTCATGTTCCCAGTGAATATTTAGGAGGAGTCTATTCATTTGGATCCCTCCTTCTCTCTTTAGAAATATTATCACTCTGGAACGTTAAGCACTGACCATAAATAAGCAAAATAAAAGTTCCTGGCAAATCTCAATATATCTCTTTTTCCCACCAAACATGAAAAACTTCTAAAGACAACTCAACCCTTCACACACACACACACACACACACACACACACTCAGCTGTGCCAGCGTCCCTGATGTTGCATCTAGTTAACCTACAAGACCCATTCCCACGGGTCATGACCCATTATTTCTGATGACCACATGCAGTGCTGTGAGGTGCCCAAACCATTACCGCATCCACCTCCCTGTGAACCATGCCCAGTGAGCTCATGCAGGAACCTGGGTTGGAGCGCTCCTCGCTGTGAAGCTAAAGGATCCATCACGAATCTGGAAACCCGCCCTAGCGGTTCTCCCGGGCCACACGGCGTGGGAGCCGCTGGGTTAGGGCAAGAAAAGGGGCGCCTGCTTGGAGGAGGGCTGTCGGGTCAGGCTGTGCGCAACCAGGGAAGCCGAGTTTGGGGAGAAGGCAGCGGGAGAGCCGAAGGGGACCAAAATACCCACAGGGGCCGAAAGAGTTGGGGAAGAGGGGGCTGCGAGGAAGACCCCGGTTCAGGCGGGAAAGGAAAGATGGAAAGGGGGCGCAGGAAATGGGCGCCAAAGAAAGAAGTGAGAAATTGCGGAGGAGGAAGTCGTCCCTGGAAGAGGAGGGGCAAAGGGGAAGCGAGAATGGAGTGTTTGCACTTTCGAGAGGGAAGGGCCGGAGCCACTCCCGACCAGGGCCGGCGGGGCGAGCGCCTGGGAAGGGGCGTCCCGGCGGGCCCACGGGGCGGCGCGGTGCCCGAGGTCCCCGGGGTTCCTACCTGAACCGCTCCTGTCCCGCCGTGTCCCAGAGCTGCAGCTTGATCCTCTTGCCCGGTTCGATCTCCAGCAGGCGGGAGAAGAAGTCCACGCCGACGGTGGGGTCGCAGGCGGGGGAGCGCAGCCCGGGGAAGCGGCCCTGGGTGAAGCGGTGCAGGAGGCAGGACTTGCCCACGGTGGAGTCCCCGATCACGATGAGGCGGAACTGGTAGATCCAGATGGTCTCCATCGCTCACGTGCCCCGCTGGCTCCCGGGCCGCCCCACCCGCGGGCTAAGTTCGGCGGCGGGAACTGTCCCTTCAGCACCTCGCGGGCGCCCGCCCGCCGCCTTCCAGCATATTCCTGCGGCTGCGGCCGCCGCCTGGTGCCCGCCCTCTCGGGAGAGAGAGGCGGGGCCCGGCGCAGCTAGGGGCGGGGCCTCGGGGCGGGGGCGGGGGCGGGGGCGGGGGCGCGTGGGAGGGGGAAGCAGGCTTTGCTGCCGCGAACTCCCGCCCCTGACCGACTGCAAATCACTATTGCTCAACGCTCACTGGGCGCCGGCCGGAAAGTGGGCGTGGCAAGAAGACGTGACACCAGCAACAACCAAGGAAAATGAAGCAAGGTCTGAACTCCGGGAGGGTCAGCCAATAAAAAGTGAGAGTCATTTTCTTATAGGCGTCAGGGCGGGCTCGTCAGATTAGGGCTTTGATTTTGGAAGTCCTTGAGGCCATAATTTGGGTCATTGCTTTGCTTCCTCCCACTTTTGTTTTTTCTTTTCTTTTTTTTTTTTTTTGAGGCTGGGTATTGTTCTATCCCCCAGGCTGGAGTGCAGTGGTGCGATCTCCGCTTACTGCAGCCTGAAGCGATCTGCACAAGTCTCCCAAGTAGCTGGGACCACAGGTGCGCGCCTCCGCACCTGACTAATTTTTTTTCTGGGTTTTTAATGTGTTTTTTTAGAGACTTGGTCTCACTATGTTGCTTAGGCTGGTCTCGAACTCATGGGCACAAGCGATCCACCCACCCCAGCCACCTGAGTAGCTGGGACTACAGGCGGGGAACAACATGCCAGGCTAATTTTTTCATCTTTTTGTAGAGATGGGGTTCAGCCTGGTCTCGAACTCCTGACCTCAAGCGATCCTCCAGGCTCGGCCTCCCAGTGCTAGGATTACGGGTGTGAGCCACCGTATCCTGCTTTCTGGTCTTGATGAGAGCCACTTCCCAGGCGTTTTAAGGTGATGGAGTTTTGGGCAAGACTGAAATAAATTTGCAGAACTAGTTCTGGGTGCTTCCAGCAAGGGCTCTGGCTATTGCTGCATGCTCCCACTGTCTGTTCATCACCTCTGTGAGTACCACAGAAGACTGAGAAACGCCAACTATCATCACCATACCTTCTCCCTCCAACCCCAGGGACAGTGGCAAAAAAAAAAAAAAAAAAAAAAAAAAAAAAAAAAAAAAGCGGGGGAAATGTTGAGATGCTGATGAAAGTTTCATCTCTCTTTGGTCTCCATATTTTAAGACAGAAAAAAGTGAACAGGTGGTCTCTTAGCTCATGTCTGATCAATGATGAAGAAAACAAAGCAGAATTTAAATTCTGGTGAGATCTTACTACTTTCTTGTGCCTTTCCTCAAATTGAGTAATAATGATGTTAAGGTTTATCTTAAAGTTTTTTTTTTTTTGGGCCGGGCGCGGTGGCACAAGCCTGTAATCCCAGCACTTTGGGAGGCCGAGGCAGGTGGATCACAAGGTCGAGATCGAGACCATCCTGGTCAACATGGTGAAACCCCATCTCTACTAAAAATACAGAAAATTCGCTGGGCATGGTGGTGCGTGCCTGTAATTCCAGCTACTCAGGAGGCTGAGGCAGGAGAATTGCCAGAACCCAGGAGGTGGAGGTTGCGGTGAGCCGAGATTGCACCATTGCACTCCAGCCTGGGTAACAAGAGCGAAACTCCGTTTCAAAAAAAAAAAAAAAAAAAAATTTTTTTTTTTTTTTAAAGATGGGGTTTCACCATGATGGCCAGGCTGGTCTTGAACTTCTGACCTCAGGTGGTCCACCCACCTCGGCCTCCGAAACTGCTAGGATTACAGGCTTGAGCCACCGCGCCCAGCTTCTTCTTCTTTCTTTCTTTCTTTCTTTTTTTTTTTTTTAAAGATTTATCTTTAAAAAATTAAACAGTTTAAAAGTGTGTGTTTATGTCGGGTGTGGTGGCTTACTCCTGTAATTCCAGCACTTTGGAAGACCAAGGCGGGCAGATCGCCTGAGGTCAGGAGCTCGAGATCAGCCTGGTCAACACAGCAAAACCCAGTCTCTACTAAAAATACACAAATTAGCCAGGCATGGTGATGCATTCCTGTAATCTGAGCTACTTGGGAGGCTGAGGCAGGAGAATCACTTGAACCCGGGAAGCGGAGGCTGCAGTGAGCAGAGATTGCTCCTTTGCACTCCAGCCTGGGCAACAGTAGCAAAACTTTGTCTTAAAAAAAAAAAAAAAAAAAAAAAAGAGTGTGTGTTTACCAAAATAAAATTTTCTTTTCTTTTCTTTCTTTTTTTTTTTTTTTTTTAAGTTGGGGTTTCACCATGATGGCCAGGCTGGTCTTGAACTCCTGACCTCAGGTGATCCACCCACCTCGGCCTCCCAAAGTGCTAGGATTACAGGCGTGAGCCACCGCGGCCGGCAAAATTTTCAACAATTCCGTTTTTTTCTTGTGCACATCCCAAATTCTGATATCGGTATTTATCCTTATTTCCTTTCCTGTTTTGGAGGAAGAGATGTTGCTGTGTTTAAGCCCCTTCCACTTATCTTTCTGGGGCTTTTCCCCAACAGTTGACTTTTATTTCACACCTTTTATACCTTAAATCTGCCCTTCTCCAGTGGTCTCTGCTCCTGAGCCTATAAACATGCTCAATTATCTGCAATTTTAAAACTAAGCAAAACACCTGTCCATTACACCTCCCCTTCATATTGTTGCCTCCTCTGTCATTCTCCTTTTCAAATATCAGAGATGACAATCCTCATATCTCAATTACCAGTTAGTCTTCAAGGAGACTTATATACACCTAACATACTCTCTGTGCCTAATACATCATCACTGCTTTGACAAGCCTGTCAGGGACTTCCTAATTATTAAACCCAAGCCCGAACTCCCACCACTGCAGTGTACTGTCATCGAGATTTAGTTGTCATTCTCTCTCTCTCTCTTTTTTGAGACGGAATCTCACTCTGTCGCCATCTTGGCTTATGCACCCTCCACCTCCTGGGTTCAAGTGATTCTACTGCTTCAGCCTCCTGAGTAGCTGGGACTACAGGCATGCACCACCACACCCACCTAATCTTTGTATTTTTAGTAGAGACAGGGTTTCACCATGTTAGGCAGACTGATCTCAAAGTCTCTGGTCTCCCCCAAAGTGCTGGGATTAGAGGTGTGAGCCACCGCATATGGCTGTGACTGAATTTTCTGTAAGCACAACCTGAACACCCTTATTCCTTGGCTTCCATAAAAGCATTCTCTCCTAATTTTCTGTTCTTTTTAACCATCTTCAATGACTCCTGTTTCTTTTTTTTTTTTCTTTTTTTTTTTTTTTTTTTTGAGACGGAGTTTCGCTCTTGTTACCCAGGCTGGAGTGCAATGGCACGATCTCGGCTCACCACAACCTCCGCCTTCTGGGTTCAGGCAATTCTCCTGCCTCAGCCTCCTGAGTAGCTGGGACTACAGGCACGCGCCACCATGCCCAGCTAATTTTTTATATTTTTAGTAGAGAGGAGGTTTCACCATGTTGACCAGGATGGTCTCGATCTCTTGACCTTGTGATCCACCCGCCTCGGCCTCCCAAAGTGCTAGGATTACAGGCGTGAGCCACCGTGCCCGGCCGACTCCTGTTTCTATGATTCATTTCTTCAATATGGAAGATGTTAAGAGATCCATCCTTCATCTCTTCCCCATCTTCCCCTTTGTACCTTCACTTTGGGCTTTTTCTGGCAACCTCATGTACTCCAGTGACTTCAGTTACCCCTGTACCCATATCATATGTCTTTCTCTAACCTCTGCTCTGTATTCAGGACCCGCATTTCCAACTCCCTCTCTTAGTTGTTGGATATCCATTTCAGACTCAACGTATCTCTGTTGGTTAGGATTCTTTGAAAAAAACAAAAACAAAAACAAAAACAAAAACAAAAAACAAACAACAACAACAAAAAACTACAGTTAGGGTGATATTAAAAGATGAGAGCACTTATCCTAAAGATATAGAGTGTTTCTACAGAATTCACAGGTAGGAATGACGTTGGCATCAGAAAGGTATTTGAACCAGGAAAGAGAAAGCTGCAAGGGACTCAGGCAGTATGTCTCTCTGTCTCTTTCATTTCCACTTTCTTCTAACATCTGCTAATTCTTGACTTTCTGCAGGCCAACTTTCTCTGCTGCTTATCCATGTGGAAGACTACAGCTGTTGCAGTTTCCCGTTAGATATCTAGACATCCACAGACACTTATTTTCATTTCTCTGTAAAGACAACCTAGTTGGCTCAGTTTGGAACAGGTGTTTGTACCAAAGAGATACAGTGGGACAGGCATATGCAGTAGGCCAATCTGTTTTGATGGGATATATAGAATATTTGCAGTTCTAGAGAAAGGGTGGGTCAATCGCTTCTTTTTGGATCAAAAATGTATTTTCTAGAGTGTCAGAAAATGAACTTAGTAGCTTTCTTGCCATGTCTTCTTTTCTTATATTTTATAGGTTGGTTAATGGCTTTTAGTATCTATGCTAGCTCCCTGGACAAATGAGAGCTTGTGCTGAATCTGGGCTGGAGGCTGGGGATTTTTGCTATGTACAGCAGAGATGGAATGGACTAAATGTGGCTGAATGTAGAGCTAAAGATAATCTCATAGACAGCATCCAAGGCAAAACTAATAAAATGGAAAGGAAAGCTGGCAGGTCAACTGAAGCCTCTTAAAAGGACTGGGTAGAAGGAGTGGTATATAGCTATAATGGCCAGGTGTGGTGGCTCATGCCTGTAATTCTAGAACTTTCAGAGGCTGAGGCAGGAAGATCACTTGAGCCCACGAGTTTGAGATCAACCTAGGCAACATAGTGAGACCCCCCATCTCTATTAAAAAGAAGAAGACCCTCGTTAGTATAGTGGTAAAACAAACAAACAAACAAAAAACAAAAGAAAGAGAAGACTTAAAAAAATTTTTTTTTGGCCGGGCGCGGTGGCTCAAGCCTGTAATCCCAGCACTTTGGGAGGCTGAGGCGGGTGGATCACGAGGTCAAGAGATCGAGACCATCCTGGTCAACATGGTGAAACCCCATCTCTACTAAAAATACAAAAAATTAGCTGGGCATTGTGGCGCGTGCCTGTAATCCCAGCTA